AAATACAATAATTAATTCCAACATAAGTATATATAATGTATTAAAGATATTAAAATAACAAGCTTTGGTTTAGACAAACCTAAAATGTACAAGCAAATAAATTTTGAATCCAATTTGTTATGATCTTGTATCACAGCATTTGCACAATTATGTCACTCATCCCACTTAGTGACAACTCACATGTTCGATCTTTTGGATAGATGTGCTCTCACTTGTCATGGACAACCACCAACATAATTTCATCATTTTATATCTAAAATAGTTGGCTTCAATTGAAATACACGTGAGGTTTAATGCATCTTTAATGTCATTTAATCATCCTTTGAACTAAATTTGTTTTTGAAAATTGTATTTCTTGGTTAAGATTATCTAAATTAATGTATCCATCATGTTCAGAGTTGTTCATGAATGCATTTTGCTTTTCTCTTATTAATATAACAATATTATATAATATATTTAGTTTTCTTAAGATATATCATATCACTCGCATATGTATTAATTTACCTTATTGTTGGAGCAAATGATCACTATGTAAATTTGATAACGATATTGAACCACCAAAAATAATTTGAGTACTAATTTTATTTGACTAAATAATTCAATCAAAATAATTATCAATATTAGTGTTATTTTTATCACTATCAAGAGTCCCATTCTCATCTAAATCATTGTTTCTCGTTTCCAACATATCTAGTAATTATAATTAGAATTATCATCATTTAATAAATTAACTTCAACATAGCAACTTTTAGTAAAATGTACAAAAAATTATAACATAAATTGATGAAGTAATTGTAAAATAATAAATTAAAAACTGTAAATTATTTACTTACATTATAATATTTTTTCATTTCATCAACTATATTTCTCCGAGTAACTATTGCAAAACTACCAACTAAATCGATATCAACATATAATTGTTATTGATAATTGTTGCTAAAAGGCATTGATCATGCATGAAATATCTTCATTGTTACATATTTAAAAATGATTATATATTTTTCTTCTTCATGAAATATTATAAATCTACCTATCATACTTGAAATAATTTTATTTTTGCGAAGTTTCAATTTTAAAGAAACTTTCGTCATAACTAATATTATGTTTTATTTATATCTTTTTTTTTAATTCTCATTCAAACATTAAACTATCCTACCATTTGAATACAACTACAATAATTTGACTCATTTTTAAATATTATTAATTAAAATGCATAAATAATTAAATTATTGAAATAAAAAAATCTAACCAAATATAATAACAATTTATTATTTGAATTACAAATAATCAAACAAATATCCTACCGTCAATATAAATATACCAATAGCAACAAGTATGGTAAAATAGAAAAAAAGTAAGAAAAATATTAACAAAAATTAAGTTTAAAATGTGATTAAGAAAAATTAACTCATACAAGTTGAAATGATATGTATGTGACTAAGGTTTCTTTCATAAAATAAATATGAGATAGAACCAAATATTGATACATATCAACATCTAGTGTGTGGTGCCATTTGGAAAAGTGTGACATGCACTAAATGTTGACATATGTTATCTAGACAAGTGACATATTTTCAATTATTAAGGTATGACATGTGTCATGTTTAATATCCTACATTTTGATTTAAATAAAAGGAGATTTATTAAAGTGTAATTGGAATAGATTTGGATAAAATATATATTTAAAAAAAATGTGAACAGTGTCGTATGACAGTAAAACCACGTATGTATAGTGACCGCTGACGTCATTAGTGACATCATCTTGACATCACGTACGCGTACAGTCCATGTACAGTATGCGTGCATAATGTTTTTGTCGTGAACAATGACCGCAACAGTATTTTCGATGTGAACAGTAAGGCAGTGAATAATATTTTCGGCAATGAACAATAATTCCGGCGATGAACAGTAAATTTTGAAAATTTTTTATAAAAAAGGAGTTTCAAATGAAATTTTCATTTTTTCACTACTATCTAAGGTTCTCAAAGGTTTTGAGGCTATATCTCATCATTTTTTCTCATACTAAACCCTTATGAACTTAAATTTCTCTTCAAATTTGTGATTTTACGTCCGTTCTAAAATATTTCAAGTAATCTTCTCTAAGTTTGAAATTAGATTTACTGTTCGTTTTTCTTCTTCTTCTTTTTCTTATAGATGTTCATGGTGTTCTTAGAAAAAACTCCGTTCTAGAGTTAAATCTTTGTAAAAGCTCAGTTCTGAGGTAAGGGGACTCTACTTTATCATTTTGTTATGTTTATTACTTGTATTCTCATAGATCTTGTCATGTATGTGATTATATATGGAATAATCCTTGTTTTATGAAAAATAGTCGGTGAAAAGTGAAAATAATTGGTTGTTTATGTGATTTTATGATGAATACATGGTGAAAATATGATATTATGTTCAAATAGTGCATGATAAAGTATATTGAGGATGATTGATATAATTTTATGATTTTGTGATATGAAATATACAAAGAGATCAATATTTCATGTTTGAATATATTATGTTTCATGTAAAAAAGATGAGTATTGTGAATATGTCATGGTTTGATGTATATGATGAAAAGTATGTGTGAACATGAGAAATGACATAGAATATAATTGAAAGAGTATGAGATGGAAAAATGATATGATGTAAATAGTTATAGAGATACACTGGAGGAGTGGAAGATAGAGACGATATGAGATATTTTGAGAAAATACAGGGTGGTGAGTGACATTTGGGATTGTACACGGAATATTGTGTACGAATGTACCACATAGCCGCACACTCGTTTCTCGACTTGACTCCTGACTATTACCTTTGCTAAGGGACTGTCTATTGCATGCGTTGTATCTGTATTGCATTGGGTCATCCGGTGACTATTTACGTGAATGTGTAAGACCTTGGGATAGAGGCATCGGATAATTGTGGCCACAGTGCACGGTAAGCGCGGGTAAAAAGAAAAAGAAATTATGAATCTGTGGAATATAATATGTGTTTATGTATTGGGATGAGAACTTGCTTTATAAGATACTGTGATATGTAATACCATGATGTTTTCTTTAATCGTGATAAGATGTGTTTTATGATGAATATGTGTTATGTATGAGTGATAGGGTAGATACTCACCCTTACACAACATTTTCAGGAAACTAGGATGAGTAGTACCAAACTCACAATGCATGAATGGATGAGAACTGTTATAGGACTTCGTTATTTTAAGTTATGTAATAGATATTTTTAGTTCTGTAGTATTCTTTTGAAATAGTTGTAAAACTACTATTTTTTTTGTTGCTGATGAAAATTTTAGAATCTTTATTTTTTTAAAGTATTTATGAATTAATAAAATTTTACTCTATGAACCTTGTATCATTTCATTGTTTCTTTCTTATTAGAGAGTTTTTGAAAAAAAATTTACTTTACCATTTAAATCTTTATGAAAATTATTATATATTGAGGAAAGAAATATAAGGCGTTACATCATGTGCTCTATGAGTAACACATTTTCAATCAACCTAACACTTTAAAGTGAGATATATGTCATTTATAGTGACCAACACTCCTATTCTTTATATTAATCTAAGAATATTTAAATAATTTAATTAAAAATATTTTAGTGCTTGATTTATTAAAAAATCAATCATAATAGTCTTTATTATTAATAAATATATTTAAAAATTAATTAATATTAATCTATAAATAATTTTTAAAATTAATAAAATAAATAATCAACTAGTAGAAGGTTAACAATAATATTTTTTTTTACTAACTTTAATCTAATTAAAAATTATTTTAGTCGTTCTTTCTTATTAATAAACATATTTAAATAATGAATCAATAGTAATCTATAAATGATTAAAATTGATAAAATAAATAATCAACTAATGAAAGGTTAACAATACTTTTTTTTTTTTACTAATTTACTTTTAATTTAATAAAAATATTTTAGACTTTAAAAAATTAATCACATTAGTCTTTATTATAATAAACATATTTAAATAATTAATCAGTATTAATTTATAAATGATTAAAATTAATAATGGAAGGTTAGTAATAATATTTTTTACTAGTTTTACTTTTAATTTAATAAAAAATATTTTTTTATTTGATTTATTAAAAAAATCAATCTTACTAAATTATGTTTGTTTGCATTTTTAATTTTTTTTCTTTTTAAAAACTAAAATTACATGTATTTTTAATTTTTAAAAAGAAAAAACTCTTTTTAAAAATGTAAACAAACATACTTTTAGTCTTTATTATTAATAAGCATATTAAAAGAATTAATCAATATTAATCAAAAATAATTTAAAGTTGATAAAATAACTAATTAAATAATAAAAAGGTTAGCAATAGTATTTTCTTTCTAATTTTTTTTAATTATCTTTAATTTATTAAAAAATCACATTAGTCTTTATTGTTAATAAATATAAATAATTCTTATAAAACATTTTTACCTGATACATGAAGTGTTAATATATTAATTATTGCTTCCATCTTTTTCTTTAGTCATTAATTATATTCATTTTTTAAATCGTTTACAAAATTTAAGACACATTTATTCTCTTTTTATCAATATTACTCTTAATTATAACTTACCATCATTTAAAGTTTCTGTTTACTTTTTAGTTTAGCGGCCAAAATTCTTCGAATTTCTTCCTTTGAGTAGTATACCTGTTAAATATTTTAGCGTCACCAAACCTGTAGTCCTCTATGTGGAGAATAAAAAATTGCATGTCACTTTATAGTATGTAAGTTGTTATTAATCCACCACTAACTTGTGTTGTCAATAAATAATTAAGTTGCTCACTACTTTTGTAATAGAGTAAAATTTTGTAAACCAACACTATTATTCAATGAATGAATATAATTTTAAATTTATTGAAGAGAACTTTTATGATGAGAGTATATTAAAAAATCACATAAGAAATATTTAATTAAATTTAAAAAGGGATGTAAAGTTAACGAATACGTGTTCTAATCGAGTTTCTCTTATTTTGTTTTTTTCAGTAATTTGGAAGGAAGTATAGCTTTGGTGAAGGGAAACAGAAGGCCAAACCAAAACCAAGCTCGACTGAGGAGCACCAACGGGAGTAGGCAGTGGCATAACTTGGGTGTATAGGAAGAAACACACCGACACCATGACCATGACCATGACCATGATGGCTTCGCAGTCCTCACTTTTCCTGAACCCAAATCCAACCCTTCACAGACACAACACCACCCTCTCTTTCATTCACCCTTCTGCTCTTTCCTCACATTCCACCTCGTTTCCCTCTTTACTTTACTTCAAACATAAAACCGGGTCCACTTCTGTTTCTTCTTCTTCCTCGTGTGAAGCGTTTGACATAGTCATAGTGGGGGCTGGCATCATTGGCTTAACCATCGCTCGCCACTTCCTTATGGCTTCCGACCTTTCAGTCGCCATAGTCGATAAGGCTGTCCCTTGTTCTGGTGCCACTGGCGCAGGTATCTTTCACTATTACCCCATTTTCCCATTTCTCTCTCCCTCCTTATATATACGCCCAGTTATCGTAAGTTAAATTCTTGAATGTGCCACTGCTGTGTTTTACCTTCGGGAATGTGTTTTGGAATATTTTCTTCTTTTACAAAAGAACTGGTCATTTTTCTCATCTCTTCCAAGCATATTCTTTAACACACACTTGCTCTCCACCAAGCGCACACATCCTGTTTGATCAAATATGCCAGATTTACTAATTTTGGGATCACAATTGCTATTTAGTACGAATACAATGTTACGAATTTTTAACGAAATTAAAACCAACCAACCAACCAACCAACTTGCCGGATAACTAATCACAGTGAAGAAAGATATAGGTAATTTCCGCTGCACTGTTGATTATAACTGCCTTCGTCGCTTTTCATGTAAAAGTTTTCGTACTAAATATAATTATTCTTTTGGGATTAGTATTGTTGACTTTTGTTTATTATAAGGAAGGTGCTTTAAGTTATTCGCATTAATCTCTCTTTAGTTAGTGTATTATGATTGTTAATTTTTATGTTTTTGGGATCTAGGTAAGGTGTGTGATTTCTATTTTTTTTTTTCTCTTTTATATTGTTGCAGAGATAAAAAAAAAAAATATGTATATTATATAGTTTTATGTTGTATTTTGATTAACTGTAGGATCTCTTCCCCTTTGTTTTTGAGATTTGAGATGGTTCTAGGGCAGGGATATCTGTGGATGGCAAACAAAACACCTGGGAGTGCTACATGGGATCTTTCATGGAGGAGCCATCAACTTTGGAAGATGCTGGCCCAAAGCCTAGAAGAGCAAGGCTTGAATCCTATGGTTGAGTTGGGTTGGAAAAAATCTGGTATAATTGCTATATCTTTCTACAAATTTCCTCTTTGTTTGTTCTGCAATTTGAAAGGGTGTCATAATGTGTCTCACAGAATTTGAACCTGCATATGAAATTTGCATCTTTTAATGGTGAGCTATCAGTGCAGATGCTGCACTATAGGTGAGCAAAAAGAAGTTTTTGGTTGTGTCGCAATTATAAATTTCCATTGTATATGCAATTGCTTTATCACATTAGTTAGATGACTACAAACAAAAAAACACAAATATGTTTAGTTTTGCGGGAAGTGTGATGGGCCAAACCCTACTAAGGCCAAACCAAATTAGGGCAGATGGGAAAGGCCTACGAAATCAAAGACGGGAAAGGGTGAGCCGGTTGGGCAAGAAGTATGAAGAATTAGTTTGAAGAGAGAGTATGTAGGAAATAGTGAGTGGGGTTGGAGGACAGAGGGATGTTCATTTTTCCTTAAGCTTAAGCTCGGCAGGGAGAATTCTCCCCATTGCTGGGAACATTGCTCTTATCTTTCTGTAATTTCATTTGAATTTCAGTTCAATAAACTCATATTTCTCTCTTATAGGAATTTCATCCTATCAATTCGTGCTTTTATTGAGAGCTTAACACCAACGCCAAATCTTTTGTGCATGCAAACAAAAATGATGACGTAGAGGATCGACACCTTGGATGCTCAGATGGTCGTTGTCGAGTTGACTCTCAAAAATCAGTAAACATTGCTGCAGTCTCACGAGATGATGCTAAAGGAACACATGGTACATCTGGACGAACACTTAGCTAAACTGTGTTCCTTCCTAGCTTATCAATGTTGGGGAAATTACTCTTTCCCTTGCAGCAACGAACTGAAATCCGAAAGGGATTCTAGTGACAAGAAAGCATTCTACCGTCATTGGGAAATTCATCGGACATGATACCTTATCTTGATGAGTGTCATCTCATGGCCAAACGGATTGAACTACTTGCATTCCAGGGGATCAATCCTGTTGGTTGGGCTTCTAGACTGGAAGCCTATTTGGCATTTCAAGGAACACCACTTGAGCTTGTGTTCAATGGTGCAGATTTGTATGAAGGGATTGACATAGCATTGGTTCAATGTGTTGGGGGAATTGAATCCTCAATTATCTTGGGAGAACCTGAAGATTGCTCTATTCGATCGTTATGGTGAGCATTGTTTTGGAAATCCTTTTCTCAATTGAAATTGTTGTCTCAGGACCAAACAGTTGATGAATACGAAGAGGAGTTTGAAATCTTGACAGCTCAAATTCTACCCATGCTTGACGATCAGTATATGATATTATTCTTAGGAGGCCTTAAGGAGGACATGTGATTAGAGATTTTATTGCTGGAACTGCTGAATCGTTACAAATTAATTTCTACAGTGCGTATGGCAAAAAATTGGGAGTGTTGGTCAACCTTTCCAAGCTGCTGGCGAGTTGGAGAAGTTGCTGACAAATTGTTGCTGCCTGAAACGTCTCTAATACATCCTGTATTCCACGTTTCTCAGCTTAGGATAGCTGCAGGAGGGGTATTCAACAGAATCTGAGCTGCCAAAGGGCCTGGAAGTTGAGGATATGAGAGACATTGAACCTATATCAGTTTTTTTGGCTACTCGCAAGACCACTTAGAATGGCACCAAGCTGAATGAATGGTTGATCCTGCGGAAGTCCAAACCTGATGAAGAGGCAACATGAGAAGCAAAGAGTAGAATACATGGTCAATTTCCCGATTTTTGCCTTGAGGACAAGGCTGAAGAAAACGGGGGTGGTATTGATGGGCCAAACACTACTAAGGCCCAACCAAATAAGGACAGATGGGGAAAGGCCTATTTTCGTAGGCCAAGGGCAAAGGCGGAAAAGGGTGAGCTGGTGGGGCAAGAGGTGTGAAGAGTTAATTAAAAGAGAGAGGATGTAAGGGGGGGGGGGGTTGGAGGATAGAGGGGTATTCAAATTTAACTTAGGCTGGGCTTGGAAAATTCTCTTGCATTTGATTTCAGTTCAATAAACTCATATTTCTCTCAGATAGGAATTTCATCCTATCGATGTGTTTAGATGACTTTGGTTTGTTTGATAGCATGCTTGCATGGCACCAAAATTCCGATAAATGAATTCAGGAATTGATATTTATAACCATGACAGTCTTAGGCCTCCTTTTCCCAGGGATCAGACCTCTGATATCACACGTCTTTTGATCTACAGGAAGCCTATTGATTGGTAGAACTCATGCAGAGTCAGACGTGCTAAAAGGGAGGGTGAAACAACTCAGCAAGGCAGGGTTAAAAGCAAAGTACCTGTGTAGCAGTGATTTGTTTAAAGAGGAACCTGATCTTTTGGTGGACGAAAACACTGCAGCTGCAATTCTACCAGATGACTGCCAATTAGATGCTCATTGCACTGTTGCATATATTGAAAAGGTTGTGTATTCTGGGTTCATTTTTCTTTATACATCTTTTACTTGCAATTTGTAAACACAACAACAACAACAAAGCCTCTTCTATTAGGTGAGGTCAGTTACTTCGATCACATGACACAACTGAATTTAGTTAAAAATCAATTTTCATAAATATTATTTATCATGAGATCCCTTTTGATTTTTTCCTCTAAGGTTCTTTTTAGTCTCCCTATATTCTTTTTCACAGAACTAAAGACTACAATCAACCATCCTCACTGGTGCCTTCAGTAGCTTTTGACATCTCCTCAATACCTATCTCTGATTTCTACTCATATATACTCATTTCTTGTCTTATTTTATATTTTCTTGTGTAGTCATAGATTTGTCTTAACATTCTCATTTCTTCTATTCTCACTTTTTTCTCAGGTAACCCCTTTAAAGCCCAACACTTGCAAGTTGTAAATAATTACCCAAATTTACAGTTTCTTTCAACTATAGACTTGCCACAGTGCTGTTATATACCTTAAGACTTATAGTTGCTAATTTATTGTTGATGAGTAGGTTAATAGGAATTTTGCTTCGCAAGGGAGATATGCAGAGTTTTATAATGACCCAGTGAATTGTTTCATCAGGTTTAATTTGTTTTTCTTTCTGTTGCACTAACTGTGGCACTGAAAGCAATGTCAAAGAAGCAAATCTTTTTTATTATGCTTTCTTTCATTTTGTGATCAGGTCAGATAGCAAAGGGGATGTCAGAGCTGTTCAGACTTCCAAGAATACATTATACAGCAAGAAGGCAGTTATAGTGGCAGCTGGTTGTTGGACAGGTTCTTTGATGCAGGAGTTGTTTCAAAATTGGGAGATGAAATTACACGTTCCAGTAAGACCCAGAAAGGTGTGTCTATGCACAGGTTGAAGTGTTGAACTGACATCTTGTAAATCCTTTCACTGTTTTTTCTGAATACTGTCATTTACCATGCACTCTGGTAAATTTTACTGTGTATGAAGTTGTGACAGTTTGTGGAATTTTCTTAGCAATACTCTTTGGTTTATGGGTGGTAATGCGGGAAGGCAATAAGATAGGGAAATGTTCTGCGTTCCTCTCTTAACTAATAATGATCTTTCTTGAAACTGTAAAGGAATGTGACATTGTTTTTGCATGATTGTCCAATATTTCCTTTCATTTCAAAACCCAATTCTTTGTCTTAGGTTTCAATTTAGTCCCTGATATTTTGGTATGCTGTTTCCATTTCAGTCCTTATAAGTTTTAAATTAAATTTGGTTCAGTTTCTCTAAGTTGACATTTGTAATCAGTTCTTTGAACATCTTTTGTTGATTACAATGCCAATTTCTATGTTTTCTTGTTTCTATGATCCCTTAAAGGCTATAATATCTGGTTAAGAAATGTGTTTGGGGGGGGGGGGGGTGTCTATTAAGGATGGAGAAAGGGAGAACCATGTGGAAAATGTGGATTGAAGCTCCATGATATGTGCATGTCTGGAAAATTAACTATATGACCAGGTGATTCACATGCCATAGGAGTATATGTAGGTTACTATATATTGATGTGTTGCTACGTAAAGGCAAGGCCCATGTTCTCATGGTGCTTCCTGTGTAAAAGGTGCCTCCTTTTGTGATGCTTTATGCAAAATTGTAAAATAAGTGTGGTAGGTAATTCTCTTTTTTGGTTTTGATATCAAACCAACCAAACATAGGATAGAAAAATGATATAAATTATTGTGTGCCCGGCATATTTGCTCATGAATTCATAATAACTCAGTATACCAGCCAGACCTCAGTTGAGGCACTTAGGCAAGCATGACAGGTGTGTATGCAACTGCTTGATGATCAAGCAAACAAAGATTATTGGAACAAGGACTACAGATTCAAGAACACTTGCAGAAAACTAGCAGTTAACAAAGTAGTTTGAAGTAGATTCAGGGGCAGAACTTCACTTAGGTTGTGATTTGAATTCATTGTGAAATATTTATCAAGCAATAATACATATAGACCTGTGTAAATGATAAGAAAATGATATCTCCCAGTGTAATATCGATTATTAATTTAAATTATGTCTATAACAGTAAAGCATGGCTATTATAGGCAATTTATATTATTTTTACATCCTAAATTTGTTGAGTCATATATCCTTAAGAAACAGAGAAACCTACGGCAGACCATTTTTGGGCATTACACTACCAATAATCATACCAGCAGGTATTTTGTCACTACACATTTGAGAACCCAAGTGACAAAGGGACCCACAATTCTGATTTTATATTCATAAGTAGTTCCATCAGATATGTGACGAGGAGGTACATTCCCTGGTCTCTTTCTCCCCCAGATTCTTGGGGGCTCTTATCAGGAAAATCTCAGTCACTGGCACATACAGCACCTCATTCCCACTTGTTCATTCTCAAGCATGAAGACAAAACACATCAAGTCATTCAGAATACCATTTTAACATAAGTAGACACATTAAGGGGGATGTCTGGGAATTTCTAGAACTAGTTTAAAATGGCATAATATGGGGTCATATACACAAGTCCCTATAAAACCAAACTAATTTTAAATTGAGCATAGTTTGGTTCAGAACTATTTCTAATATTGAATTCATTGTATAAATATGAATTGCGGAAGATTGTGATCATCTACATTTGAAAATGGTAGCTACTGTAATTATAATACAACTCAAAGATAAACACACCTCTACAGAGAAGTTTTACTCAGAATTGATTTAGGTGCTTCTCCAGCATGTCTTTCTCTGCTGAGTTCAGACATGTGGTGGTCCAAAATTCATTGGAATAAACTGTTGAATCTTTCTTCTTGGTAACAACTCTGTTGGGTATCCCTTTCCACCTCTGGATAGTTTGTTTTGCATCGGACTGGGATGCCTTTGGGCATGATTTTGTATGATTATAGTGTTTTCTTCAGAGGCCAGTGAGTTTGAGTGTGATTTGGTCATGCTTGGATGCAATGTTCTCTCCGTTGACTCTTTTTTGGGAATTCTCCTTTCTAGCTTGGTTCCTGATATGGGATCATCCTGTTTGCGGAGGAACAACAGAGCTATTTTGTTATTTCTGACCATATATGCTCAGTGTAACAAAGTCATATCTTGCGTAAATTTCTTTAAAATGCAGAGATTGATTTAAGCTGATTAAGTAATTTGTTGTTTGCTTGACTCCAATATTCCTTTTATACGTTCTTCTGTTTGGTGTGAAGGGTCACCTACTTGTGCTTCAGAATTTCAATTTACTTCAATTGAACCATGGCTTGATGGAGGCAGGTTATCTCAACCATCCAACAATTTCTGGTTTAAAATCATCCGATCATGAACGTAACTTGTCTGTTTCAATGGTAGCAAATGTAGATGCAGCAGGGAATCTTCTTATTGGTAAGCTTCTTTTCCTTGGCCCATGTAAATAATATCAGCAATGAGAAAGCTTATATTGCTAATCTACATATGGGATGATTGTATGTGTTACTTTTAAGAGTATTGTTCCTATCAAACGTGTGTGTGGCAACAGTATTCATTGTTTTCTTTTGCCTGTTTATTAGATGCTCAGGGTTTCCTTTGCATATACAAGATAGTACTTACTGTGTTATATTTGTATATTTTGTTATTTGGGTAACAATGCATTCACGTTTTAAATTGTTCAGATATGCATGTGGATTGATGTATTATCTTTTGGCTGAACATAACTATTTTCATTTCCTTCATAAATAGCTTTCTTGTTATCATAGAGTAGATCAATTTTTTCTGTTGATGCAAATGCTTCTGAAATATTGTTTTAGATTTTTTAGCATGTTTTTGCTTGTTATTATGTTAAAAAAACAAAAAATCTTATCCACTATGAAGGGAGTAGCCGTGAATTTGTTGGGTTCAACACCGATTTGGACGAGTCTGTTGTCAGTTACATTTGGAAGCACGTTGGAGAATTCTTTCCCAAATTGAAAACACTTCCCCTTTCAGATCTAAGTGCAAGTAGAAAAGTCAGAATAGGATTACGACCTTATAGTGAGTCACAATATCTATTTGCAGTCTCATGTAGTTGAACTATTTATATTTTATTTACATTTCCATAAGCTGTGCGCACAAGAAGTTGTATTTGACATGCATAATGTTTACTCTGTCAGTGCCTGATGGGAAGCCAGTGATTGGGCCTGTCCCTGGCTTGTCAAATGTGTACCTTGCAGCGGGACATGAAGGGAGCGGGCTTTCTATGGTGAGTTCTCAAGGGACTCCTAATTTCTATAGAGAAGAGCTTTAAATAAAATGTTTTTTCTTTGCCTATTTACACAAATGGCAGTGACCACGCACTTTGAAATTTGAATGAACATTTAGAGAAGTCTTCTAATTCTGTAGAAATTTCCAGGCTTTGGGGACTGCAGAAATGGTCGTTGATATGGTGTTGGGATACCCAGTAAAAGTTGACAGCGCACCTTTTGCTGTGCATCAAGTTCTTGATTAAAATTTGCACAGCTCATGAGAATTTTAAGCAGTGGCCTAGTATGAAGGCACAAGGCCACTTGGAATTCCGATACATCAGCGGATGCTGGATTTCTGCCAACCAGATTTAGATCCACGCATTGTATGGGTTAATAATTTTATTTTATGAATTATTATTATTATTATTATTATGTTAGTAGCGGCGGTTAAGTGGGAGAGCAAGAACAGGTACTACAAATGACACCCATTGAAACTAATTTTTGCTACGTAAAAACATTTATGCTTCATCACGTCTTCCTCGAATACACTGTCCAATTTAGCTTTTCCATTTTATTTAATAATGGCGAGATTAGAGTTTTGAAATATCCAACATACGTACATCAAGAATTGAAATTGAAATTTACACGAGATAGATAATCATAATTTTTTTTAAAAAAAGTGATACAACAATACATCAAAACAACCATTAAAAGCATGCTCACTCAAAATTCATACAAAATAAAAATATGAAAGACCTTTAAAACTTCAAACAAACTAAATATGATCTACTTGTTTGTTTTAGAGGAAGCTTCAATTAGTTAGACAAAATAAACCTTTTCTTTTTTTTCTTTTTTCTTTTTCCTTTACTATCTCTTCTTTTTCACTCTATGATGGTGTAAAGAAAAAAAAGGTTAACGAAGTTACAAGGCACAATAGTAGATAAATAATTTTATTTTTTTAACCTTTGAGAGAACGTGTGTAGAGTTTGCAAGAGAGGTCTAAAATTAAGAGTGTTGGAGCTTAAACCTTTTCTTAATTGAACCTTCATGGGACTGGGATTTAAATGTTAAGTAGTTTCCATAAACCCTAATACATTGTCAGTGATAATGTTTTTAAGTCAAAAAAATATTTTATAGGTGTAAATGGTGTTGCTAATACTGTGAATTTTATGGTGCACTATGTAGATTAACAAATGCCTATTGGGAATGTCGATATTATACTTACGTTTTGTTTTGGTCAATGATGATTAGATTGAAGTTAATGGGAAATCACAAGATACTTATAATGGTCGTAATAAAATGTTTTTGTAATGCTACAATATAAAAACACTACAAATTATAGCATGCTTGTTCTAAGACATTTAAACAAAAAGTAGGAATAAATAATCAAACAATCTTTGAAGTCCACCATGAGTAATCTCTAAGCTGCATCCTGAGTAAAGTTGTCTTCTTTGTTTCAAAGTGAGAAGGGTGGAGAAAGAAAAAACTGAATAAACGGTGAGAAGGACAAGAGGAGGTGAAGATTGGAGGAGATAGGTAATGAAAAAAATAGATGAAAAGGGAAAACAATCATAAAAAAAAATAAAAAAATTCATCAAGGGTGGAAAAACTCACCTACAATGAATCGAAAGTCCTTCCATGATGGGAGAATCTCTATGCGTGTGTTTTAGCCTCTCTTTTTTCGAGAATGTTGTAACTTAAATCTTCTCTTACTTGAATCTTCATGGGCTTGGGTGTTAATGTGACTAGTGAAGAGCGCTACATGGTTTGAGGTGGACATCATAATTCACAAAATTTTGTTGCTAATAATTAGGGATGACAATGGGTAAAGTACCCGATAGGTACCCGTAAAATTTATTCTCAATGGGTGGAGTATTTACTCGCTAAACAGGTATGGGTATGGGTATAGGTATGGGAAAATATCTACAAATTTCAATGGGGATGGGTGTGGGTATGGGTACCTAAGTATCTACCCCGGCCCAGACCCGCATATTATTATTATTATTATTATGCTATTTATATGAGGGAGGCCTTAACTCAAAAGCCCATAAGAGGAGAAAATTAGGGTTAACACTTTATATATTTGGTTAGGTCTTTTCTATAATCATTAACAATTATATAATCATATGAATTGCTCCACAATTTGCTCTATTGAGAGTTGTGCTTTAGAAGTGTGACTTACAAAAAAAGATTTAACCTACCTCTTTTCATAGAATTCAGAGATCAAGTACAAGAACTTTCATTCAAACGCAAGTCTTCAACAAGTAAGCTTAAAACTCTATTATAATTACTATTGACATTTCTAATTATTTTTATTTTTCTAATTTCATATAATCTTATTTGAATATTTTTTACTTACAATGAAGCAACTAAGAATTTAAGAAAACAAGAACCTAACCTACTTTTATTTTTTAGAAAGTTTTTATGGATGCTTTTGTAAAAATATATTTACCAATAAAGTAAACCATTAAAATAATTTTTTTCATATTTTTAATAAAAAAATTATTTACTATTTTATATTGTTTAACTAGGCTAATACAATTTAATTATTACATGGTTAGTATGAGATGGAAATGAATTTAGATATACTTAATGTTAACAATTTTTTAAGTGATTATGATTCGTTTGTTAATAATACAAATGATATGTAATCAAAGTCTAAATTGAATATCTACTTCGAAGAGAAGGTATTGTCTAGAAGTGCTAGTTTTGATATTACTGGGTGGTGGAAATCAAATGGGATCAAATATCTAATATTGCAAAAAATTGTCAAAGATATTTTGGCCATCCCAATTTCAACTGTTGTTTTAGAGTCTGATTTTAGCACAGAAGGTAGATTGTTGAGTCCTTATCGTTCTCGACTTCATAAGAATACTTTGGAAGCACTCATGTGTGCACAAAGTTAGCTGAAACATGAAAATGAAGGTACTGAATACTCTATTAATATATTTATATAATTAAATATTTTTGTTAATTTTAATTTGATATCTTAATTATTGATTTTTTTATTATGTACTTGTATATTTTAGTTTTTATTGGTATTGTTGGATCAAAGCAATATGTAAACTTGAAAGATAAGTGTTTGCAGTCATTTGGAGAATCTAATTCTGATGAAGAGGTAAAATAGCCTAATTATATATATTATTTTGACTTTACAATAAATAATTAACTAATTTTCTTTTTTTCTTTTAGGTCTTGCAGAGTGATAGAACATGACTGTCAAGTTTATAAGTTCATTGTTTTAGAAGATCTTAAAGATTGTGTGTGCAATTTTACTTATGATTTTTAAGTACTTTAGTTTATAAAGATGATGTATTAAGATACACTTATCACATATGATATTTGAATATTTGTTTTCTATCTATAATTGAATTTTGTTCAGTAAAATTATATAAGCATATTTTTTTATAAGTATTTTTTTCTTAGACAAGTGTGGGTAAAAAGGGCGGGTACCTAGAGGGTATAGGTACAAAGATTAAAAGTGCTACCCACGCTGGTACGAGGCTGGGTACGAATATTTTTTTATAACGCAGGTATGGGAATGGGTACTATAGTACCCTACCCATACCCTATTCATTGCCATTCCTAATGGATCATATCTTATATATATATATATATATATATATATATTAATTGTGCTACTTTTATGATGGAGGCCTTAACCCAAAAGCCCATTATAAGAGAGAATTATGGTTAATACTTAATACTTTATATATTTGGCTATATTCTCTCTATAATCATTAACAATTATGTAATCATATGAGTTGCTCTACAACTTGCCCTATCAAAAGTTGTATTTTAGGAGTGTGACGTACAAATAAATGTCTAACCTATCACTTCTCATAGAATTCAAAGATCAAGTTCAACAACTTTCATACTAAGTAAGTCTTTAACAAATAAGTCTAAAACTCTGTTATAGTAATTATTAATATTTCCAATTATCTTTATTGTTCTAATTTCATATAATATTTTTTAAATAATTTTTTACTTACAATTGAACAACTAAGAATTTAAGAAAACAAAAACCTAACTCACTTTTAGTTTTTAGAAAGTTTTTGTTGATGCTTTTATAAAATTTTGGTTAAGATAAAGATTTCACTATTTATTTTATATAATTTCATGTCTTATATTTTTTACTCAGTTTAGAATTCTATTATAGGACATAATTATTTTATTTTTTTGAATGAACAAATTCTCTATTTTGAATTTTTGAGTAATATTATCTTTTGATTTATAATTTTTTGTTTTTAAAATATTTTTCTATGCAAAATAAAAGGTTAAAAATTTTAATATAAATATTCATGTTACTCAAATAAAAGAATGCATATTTAAAGATATAAAAATCTATCTAATTAAATTTATTTTATAAGATTAACATAAAAAAATATTTATCAATAATCTAAATCATAAAAATAATTTTTTTCATATTTTTAATAGAAAAAATTTATTTACTGTTTTATATCATTTAATTAGGCTAATATGATTTAATTATTACATGGTTGATATAAAAATTAATTCTTATTATGTACATGTATGTTCTAGTTTCTTTTGGTATTGCTAGACTAAAGCAATATATATACCTAAAATATAAGTGTTTGCTCTCATTTAGAGAGTTTAATTTTGATGAAGAAGTAAAATAGTCTAACTATATCTATTATTTTGACTTTATAATAAATAATTAACTAATATTCTTTTTTTTAGGTCTTGGAGAGTGACAGTACATGACTCTCAAGTTTATGAGTTGGTTGTTTTAGATGACCTTGAGAATATGTGTGAAATTTTGTTTATAGTTTTTAAATACTTTAGTTTTAAAAGTTGATGTATTAAAATGCACTTAGCACTTATGATCTTTGAATATTTGTTTTCTATATATGCTTGAACTTTGTTCTTAAGATACGTATCAAATTTTTGTATTATTATGTTACTTATATAAAATTATATAAGTATATTTTTTTATAAGCATTTTTTTTCTTAGATAAGCGCGTAATAGAGGTAAGTATGGGTATGCGGGTACCTAAAAGGTATAGGTATGAGGATTAAAATTACTATCCACAGAGGTATGAGGTTGAGTACGGGTATTTTTTTAAAAATACAGGTACAAGAATAGGTAATATAGTACTCTACCTATACCCTATTCATTGTCATTCCTACTAATAATGTGAATTTTATGGTTTAGCATGATTAAACCAATAACTATAGGAAATGTTGATATCATATTTATATGATGTTTTTGGTAAAAAAATTATTGAACTAAAGTTAATAGCCAGCCATAAGACACTTATAATGGTCATAATAGAATGATTTTGTAATACTACAATATAAAACACTATTGACGCAACTGGAGCCACGATAAGAAAAAAATTATGAAAAATGATAAAACCACATATGGGAAACAAGAAAAGTATAGAATTAAGGAGTCGTTACCAAAATTTTGAAAAACTTTGAAAAAAAAGAATGGTTTACTGACCAGATCCGAATTTGAGAGTCTAATTACGCATGGTGAAGGGATTAGCAAACTCAAGTTTG